TGGCACCAAGTCGAGGTTTGATTGTCAAAAAGTAATGGGTTCTCTTCTCTCTTTGTCCCTTTCCTAAGAGACCCCTAAGGTTCTGTATATTCTGTATGAAAACTAGTGTTGTTCTCAGTTACATGTCCCTATCAGTAGATCCCAATGATTCGTAAGTTGTATATGTTTACTGGTAGATATTAGGCATATGTTGTGTTTTCCTGATGCATCTGTTCTAGTATGTGTGTTTGAAATCGTATGAAGGATCACCTATGCTATCTGAAACTATGTGTACGTGTGTGCAATGTGAACCATGACTATGTGCCTCGGGTTTAAGGCTCTAAAATGTGATGTTAGTTCTTTGTATTTCATGTAGCCATGTTTATGTAAATAGTGATGTTCATAAGTGATGTAAAGATACTAATTTGAGTTAAATTCTTTATTGAATGAAATATTACAAATGTACCTAAAAAGCTCACTAAAAAACTACTTAAAACTCTAAACATTTAATGTTAAATAAGTGAGAAAATAGGCTGAACTTTTTCCCAACATCTTGTTATTGAGTTTCGGGCAACATAAAGGGATTTTCATACTATGAAAAAAAAAGAATTAAAATATATGAGATCAGTGGATATTGAACCCGTGACCTCCCTATGTTAAAAATAAATAAAATAAGATGAGCAAAAGGGAATGTGACATATGGGATTCGAACCGACGACCTTGGGTGGAAAATGAATTATGAAAATAAGAAATGAAAGGGGTGGGATTCGAACCCACCACCTATCAATAAACTTAAGAAAATTAAAAGTAAAAAAAAGGTGAGGCGTGTGGTAATCGAACCTATTATTTCTAGGCTGAACCAAGGAAAATTAAGGAGAAGAAATCAAAGTGGGGTTGTGGGGGTTTAAAACCACCATCCCCTTGACCAAAGGAGAGAAATTAAATGAATTGAAAACTAAAAGTAAATGAGGTTGTGGGTGTTTGATCCCACATCTTCTCAATCCCATTGAGCGAAAAATGAAGAGAAAATTAAAGAAATTAAATAAAAAAAAGGTGTTGGGGCTTGATCTTTGGTCCCTAAGCCGTGTGGACGAAAAAAAGTAACGAAAAAAGTAAGTGTTGTCCAAAGGATTCGAAACTCGGTTCTCTTGCCAAATTCTGTATTGATACATAAATCATACATGAATTAAATATTAAAGAAAATTAATGCCTACTTAGATTAGAATCGAGATCTTGGCCTACATACAAGATGCATAAGTCTTATACAACATATCTTAGGAAGATAAGAATCACTTAAACGAATTATGAACGAATACTCATGGTTGTATATATAGACCCATAAGTCTAGAATACGCTTAAAAATAAGTGAACCTAAGATGTATGTAATGAAATGATGTAACCCTAAAAGGGTTAAGTAAGAGTGTAAACCACACTAAATGTCCAAGTGCATTGGCACATGATGAAATAAACAATGAAATAATGAAATGAACAATGAAATGATGAAACCCTAGAAGGGTTAACTAAGAGTGTGAAACACACTAAATGCGCAAGTGTATTGGAATATGATGAAATGAACGTTTACGCATAAAGGGATGGGTAATTATGAAGATCAAATGTGCTAATGTTAATAAATGTGGTGACAACAGGATATAAGGCTAATGAAAAAGATGAGAGCAATATCAAGTAAGCCTATGTAAAGTTACCAAAATGTACTCACCTATGAGAGTGTAAAGTTAATAAAGAGACCATTATCTATGAAAACTCTACTGGAAGTGTTGAGATTAACACACTTAATACTAATGATGAGATAAGAAATTATCTATTGAGCTATGATGTCCTCATACTAGAAACCAGCTTTCATGACGTATGAGTTTAATGCAATGCACCTTTATACTGAGAACCGATAGACTAGCTATGAGTGATGATTCCTTCTTTTGGGAAGGGCAAAAATTTACATAAATCTCATAAGATAAGACTGTCCGGCATGCCGGGTATGGGTCTCCTTATATCTCCTAGTCTATGAACCTATACTCTGAATATACGGATCTAACAGGATTATATTCCCATGTATGCTAGAATGTTTTGGATCACTTAGGACAATGATTAAACCTCTTTTTGGTGAGGGGAGAAACTAGATTTCATGATGCTCACATGATCTATGTTAGTTAAACTTAATGTTCCAAATGAATAAATGAGGCCGACCTTAAATGATGCACATAACAATATGACTGATACAAGAGGTGCTAGTATAGGATGATCAAGAGGTGAGCTAGACTCATGTAATGACAGTAGGTCATTCTTAATCATTGCACAGCAAACCCGATGAAAGTCATAAACTACATCCTAGGAATGACATGTAAAGTAATGAATTACGTATGAATGAATGAAGCAGATTCTATGTTTGCTAAAGAAGGATCCCTAGTTAAGGTCCCCTTTTTTGAGCCCTTATTTAGGGAAGTCTTAATGTCAAGTCCATAAATCCAAGGTCTCATGGCATATGAATGAACAATATGAATAATGTTATATGTTAAATGTTATATGTTACATGCAATATGTTATGTGCAATGTTTTAGAAGTTATATGTTGTGTGCCATATGATAAGTGTGATGATGCATGTTACTCTCATTACATTGCTTTCCTAATCCTAATTTTGAAAGCTCACTAACTTTCCTAATTACATTTTTGCAAGTCCACTGACTTGGATTTCCATAATCACAATGTTAGGAAAGAGTTGTTCTTACTCATGCATCTCCTTGGTGTGTTCTTTCATATACCCATACTTAGTACAAGTCTGTACTAATCCCCTAAAATTCTACAATTTTAGGTGCAGGCACAGGTGGACACTAGAGCTTAAATGGTGATGTTACAGCTATCCGTACGTGGAGCTTTCATCTGGATTTTGTAGGACCTTATGCTTTCGAGGATGTTTACCATTATTTTCTAGCTTAGATATAGTCTATAGCAAGTGGTAATGTTCCACTAGTGTTTCTTTCCACTTTTTATCAGAATTTTTATTTATGCCATTTTGGCAACAATATTCTTATTAAAATTATGATATGAATCTTTCATTTGATTATCTCTATATTATATGGTTGATTTGGGAACGACTATGATGTTAAGTTTATGATGTTTAGCATGAAATAAAAAAACAAAACGTTCAACTTTTCCTCTTAAATTAACCTAGATAAAGTCAGAATGATGTTTGTAGTCTTCTGTGCGACCTCTGTAAGAAGGACTCTAATTGCTGAAAATCTATCAAAACCTGGTTGGGTCGACGAACTTCATGACGAGCCGTCGTGCTCACCGCGGGCCTTCATAAACTCCTTCATCTTATACTTTAAAAATCCTTCTGCTTCTTTCTTCATTACCCTCGACGAACAGGTATGACAGTCCGTTTCATGCACGATGGTCCGTCCAGGGTCTCCATCCCTTAATACTTAAAATTCATGGAATTTGGCTACTGGGACTACTTCTCTTATCATCACGATGAACAAGAAGGACGGACTGGCATGTCTATAACGTTCCATCGTGAACTTTGTAACCCCACACTTATGTAAGACTTTCCTACCTTTCTTCAACATCTTCACTACAATGCCACCTACGGACCGTCACAAGCTCGACGAACCATCACAAGCTCCGTAGGTGGAAACTTTTCTACAATTCTTGCTTAAAAACATCAGCGTTCATCTTTAGATAGATTTCCTGCAAATAAAGAGAAACTTACATAAAAATTAATATAAAAAGTCTTTTGGTCACACATAAACTTAAGGAAAAAGAATTAAAAATACCGTGAAATCACGATATATCAAGAGTGTAGACAGGGCACTAATGCCTGCTTCGGTTGCGGTAAGTGCGGGTACATGGTTAAGGACATCTCATAGAAGAGAGGTCAGAATAGAGGTAATGTTCTATGCCTTTAACGGAAGGGAGGAGCAGGAGAAGTCCGCTGATGTGGTCACAGGTATGTAGCAAGTATTATAAACTTATGTTTATGCTTTACTTTATCCAGGGTACGCTTTTCTTTGTACCTCCTTTTCATGCTCTCACATTTGAGATATTGCCTAAAGTTCAGCATGATCCTATAGTGGTTAGTACACAATTATGAGAAAATGTAAGAACAGATAGAGTATAGAAGGATTGACCAATAGTTGTAAGTCGTAAGACTAAGTGTCCAGACTTTGATGAGTTACCCATGCATGATTTTGATTTTATTCTTGGCATGGATTGGCTTCAGAGTTGTTATTCTTGTATAGATTGTCGTAGTTGGGCTTTGAGATTTCATTTCCCTAATATAGAAGCGAGTATGGGAGAGGTACAACTCAAGTATTCCTAATTCCTTTTTTAGAACCTTAAAGCCAATAAAATGATATCCAAGGGGTAATTATGTGATCTTGTGAGTGTTAATGATTTAGATCATGGTATTCCTTCCATAGACTCTGTGCTTGTAGTTAATGAGTTCCAAGATATATTTCCTGAAGATTTGTCTGGAGTTCCTCAAACTCGAGAGATTGACTTTAGTATCGAATTAGAACCCGATACTAAACCAGTTTCAATTCCTCCTTAGAAAATGGCGAAAGCTGAACTCTAAAATTTGAAGCTACAGATAAAAGATTTAACTTATAAGGGTTTCATTCAGTAGAGCATTATCAATTAGGGTGCTCCAGTGTTGTCTGTAAAAAAGAAAGATTGAACCCTTAGAATTTGCATCGAGTATCGGCAGCTCAACAAAGTCACTATAGAGAATAAGTATTTACTTCCTAGAATAGATGAGTTGTTTGACGAACTCCAATAATCTAGTTTCTTCTCGAAGATTGATCTTCGTTAAGGGTACCATCAGCTCAAGTTAGCACAGGGATATCACAAAGACATCCTTTTGTTCCAGTTATGGTCATTATAAATTCCTAGTTATGTCAACTGGTCTCACGAATGCACCTGCTGCATTTATGAATCTTATGAACTGGCTTCTGTGAATACCTTGACTCATTGTCTAAGTCTTCATTGATGAGATTCTCATCTAATCTATGACCAGGGAAGAGCATGAGCAGCATTTGAGACTAACCTTGCAAGTATTTAGGAAACATCAGTTGTATGCCAATTGTAACAAGTGTGAGTTCTGGCTTACATCAGTGACCCTCCTGGGTCATGTGCTGTCCGATAAAGGTGCGGAGGTAGATCAAAAGAATACTAAGGTTGATAAGAACTAGCCAAAACCTCTTACTCCCACAGATATTCAAAACTTCTTTGGATGTACTGGTTATTATGACAGGTTCATGGAGGGTTTTTCTTCCATTGCTGCCTCACCAACAACTTTGACTAAGAAGAAGACCAAGTTTGAATGGACGGATTCTTATGAGAAATGTTTCCAAGAGATCAAGGATGGACTTACTTCAACCCCGGTGCTTACTTTTCCTATGTGTGTGAAAATTACACTATGTATTGTGATGCATCTAGAGTTTTTTTGGATTGTGTTCTTATGCAGGGTGGTTATGTGATAGCTTATGCGTCCACACAACTCATTGTTAACGAAAAGAATTATCCAACTCATGACCTAGAGTTGGACGCTGTGTTTTTGCAGTGAAATTGTGGAGGCACTACTTCTATGGCGTGCATGTGGATGTGTTAACAAACCACAGAAGTCTTCAGTACATGTTTACATAGAGGGAGTTGAATCTACATTAGCAGAGGTAGTTGGAGGTGTTGAAGGACTACGACATGAATGTCAACTACCATCCATGTAAGGCTAATGTTGTAGCTGATTTTTTGAGTCAGATGAGCATGGAAAGTACATCCCACATTGAGGATGAGAAGGAGTTGGTGAAAGATATACACAGACTGGCTCTAAGGTTAGTTGACTCTACTAGTGGGGTGTTTCAGTTCATTCTACGTCTAGATCATCCTTTGTAATTGAAGTAAAGGAGGGTTAGCATCTTGATCCTATGTTGATGAAGTTGAACAACTCAGTGTTTGTGCTTTGGGAGATGACGGCATACTTAGGTACTAGGATAAGTTGTGTACACTAGATGTTGATGATTAAATGACTAGGATCATTGTAGAGACCTATAGTTCCACATAATCTATATATCCAGGTTCAACCAAGATGTATCATAATCCTAAACAAATCTATTAGTGGGATGGAATGTAGAAAAACATTGTATATTATATGGACAAATGTCCTAATTGTTAACAGGTTAATGCAGAACATCTTAAGCTTAGCGGTCTTACTTAGATCATTGAGATTACAACTTGGAATTGGGAGGCCAATAATATGGACTTCATGGTTTGTCTTTCGAAAATTATGAGACAACGTGACTCTATATGTGTTATTGTGCACATGATGACTAAGTCTGCCTACTTTATCCCTGTGAGGGTTACCTACAAAGTCGAGGATTATGTGAAACTCTACATTAATGAGATTGTGAGATGGCATGAGATTCCTTTGTCTATTATTTGAGATGGAGGAGCTCAGTTGACTTCACATTTCTAGGGATCCTTCCGCTAGAGCTTAGGCATTCTGGTGAATCTTAGTACTGCCTTTAATCCCCAGAGTGATGGGGTGGCCGAGCGCACCATTCAGACATTGGACGACATGCTGAGGGCATGTGTGATTAACTTCAAGGATAGTTGGGACGACCATCTACTTTTGATAGAGTTATCGTGTAATAATAGCTATACCTCTGGCATTGGAATGGCACTGTTTTTGGCACTATATGTTAGAAGTTGTAGGTCTCCAGTTGGGTGATTCGAGGTTAGAGAGTCATCAATTTTGGGTATAAAGATCATTTATGAGGGCTTAGAAAAGGTCAGGGTGATTAGGGACAGTTTGGCTACTACTTACAGTAAGTATAAGTCTTATGACACAATAGAAAAATCCCCTTAGAGTTTGATGTTTGTGACCAGATCTATTTGAAGATATCACCTATGAAGGGTATGATGAGGTTTGGCATGAAGGGGAAGTTGAGTCTAAGGTATGTTGGGCCATATGAAATCCTACACCGTGTGGGAGAGGTGGCCTATTAGTTTGCATTGCCTGCAGAACTATCTTCTATTCATCCAATCTTTCATGTCTCTATATTAAAAAAGTTACTAGGTGATAAAACATCGATTCTACCTATTGAAGGTTTGGGGGTTGACGAAAATTTGTCCTATGAGGAGGTTCCTTTTATGATTTTAGACATACAAGTCAAGCGGCTGAGGAACGAGGAAATTTCCACAGTGACGGTATTGTGGAGGAATCATCTTGTTGAGGGTGTTACGTAGGAGGACGAGGCCGATATGAGATGCCGCTACCCCTATCTTTTTAGCAATTCAGATTAGACTTCTTACTCTTAAGTCTAAGTTTCATTATCTACCCATTCATTATTGTTATTGCTTGATTGTGTATAGTGATTATGTTATGATCTTACTGGCATTACAATAGGTAATTAGTAGTTTCATTTGTGGACAAATGTTCCTAAGGGGGATAATGTAACAACCCTAAAAATTGATATGCTAAGTAATTCTTAATATGTCTAGAAGGCCTACGATTAAACTGGGTTCACATGGGTTGATACGCGTAGAACAAGACCTCTGAACCCTTAGAAAAGTCAATCCAACTAACATAGGGAGTAAGTTGAGCTATGAAATGTTGGGTCTAGCGCCATGTTGGGCTCCCGAATATGAAGATTTACCCGAGTTAGTCTTTACCGGACATAAAAGGGGAAATCTTATGTTTGGAGGGTCTATGGGTAGAATTGCCTTTTCCAGTTTATGGGTATAATTGTTATTACCTTAATATATAATTAATTATTTAATTAATAAGGTGTAGGGGTATTTTGGGGAGATAGGGCTAAAAATTTGCTCTTAGAGTGAAGTCGTGCTCCACCCGTATTCGAACCTAGGTTGAAGCACTGAATAAATTTTTTTTTAATTCAAGTTGATAAATTAATGTAATTAATTAATATTTTTTATTTATTACATGATTTCAAATAAAAGGGAAATCATTATTTTTTCATTCAATAAAAACCTTATTTGACTAAGTCCTAAACAAGACTCCTAAGCATAATAAAACTCTCACTCTCTCATGTCTATCACACTTTTACATTCAATCTCTCTTCTCCCATTCAGGTTTTTTGGTTCCAAATAAGATTAAAAACAAAATATTTACAAAGGTTATTTACACATGAAGAACTCACATGAAAATATAACAAAAACATACGTTAATCAATCACGTAGGTAAAGAGAAGGTTTTCCGTCGAGTAGGGTGTTGAAATTTTGGTGTTGGACGTGTGTTTGGAATGTTTTTTGGGTATTAAGTCGAGGTTTGAATGTCAAAAAGGTATGGGTTCTCCTCACTAAGGTTCAGTATATTCAATTCGAAAACTAGGGTTGTTCCCCGTTGCATGTCCCTATCACTAGCACTTAATGATTCGTAGGTTGGGTATGTTTGCTGGTAGATATTAGGCATGTGTTTATTTTTCGTGATGAATATGTTCATGTATGTGTGTTTGAAATCATATGAAGGATCACCTATGTGATCCGAAACTATGTGTACGTGTGTGCAATGTGAACCACGACTATGTGCTTCGCGTATAAGGCTCTAAAATATGATGTTAGCTCTTTGTATTTCATGTACACATGTTTAAGTAAATCGTGATCTTCATAAGTGATGTAAAGATGCTGATTTGAGTTAAACTCTTTATCGAAATGAAATCTTTAAAATGCACCTAAGGAACTCACTAAAAAACTATTTAAAATGTACAAACATTTCAGGTTAAAGAAGTGAGAAAATAGGATGCCAAAAAAAGTTTTAGCATCTTTTTGATGACTTTCGGCGAAGCTAAGGGGATTTTAATTTTATTAAAAAAATAAATCAAAATATATGACATAACGGGGGAATGAACACGTGACCTCCTCATGCTAAAAATCAATTAAATAAGATGAGAAAAAGGGAATGTGACATGTGGGATTCGAACCCATGACATTTGCTAGAAAATTAATTATGATAAGAAATGATAGGGGTGGGATCCGCACCCACCTCCTCTCATTCAAATTAAAAAAATTAAAATAAAAATAAAGGGTGAGGAACGTGGGAATTGAACCTTTGACCTCCATGAAGATACAAGGGAAATTAAGGAGAAGAACTAAAACTGGGGCTGTGGAGGTTTGAACCCACCACACACTCGGTCAAAGGAGAGAAATTAAAAGTATTGAAAACTAAAAGTAAATAAGGTTGTGGGGGTTCGATCCTACATCCTATCAGTCCCACTGAGCAAAAAATGAAGAGAAAAATCAAAAGAAATTAAAAGAAAATAGAGGCACTGGGGCATGATCTTCTGTCCCCAAGACTTGTTGACCAAACTAAAATTAATGAAAAATGTAAGTGTTGTGCAATGGATTCTAAAACGGTTTACCTTGCCTGAATTTCGTATTTATACATAAATCATACGTGAATTATATATTCAAGAATACTGCTGCCTTGTTAGATCAAATTCATATTTTTGCATACATAAAATATGTATAAGTCTTGTGCCAAATAATCTTACGAAGATATAAATCACTCAAACAAACTATGAACGAAGCCCAATGTCATATATGTATAGACCCATAATTCTATCATACATTTGTAAATTAGTGAACCTAAGATGTATGTAATGAAATGATGTAACCCTAGAAGTGTTAAGTAAGAGTGTGAAACAGACTAAATGGTCAAGTTCATTGACACATGATTAAATGAACTATGAAATGGTGAAATCCTAGAAGGGTTATGTAAGAGTTGGAAACACACTAAATGGCCAAGTGCATTGGCATATGATTAAATGAACATTCACGTAAAAAGGGGCGAGTAATTATAAAGAGCAAATATGCTAAAATTTATGTATGTGGTTACAACATTATATGAGGATAATGTAATAGATGAGAGCAATCTTAAATATCCTATGTAAATGTTATCAAAACGTACTAACCTATGAGAGTGTACAGTTAATGAATAGCCTAGTATCTATGAACACTCTAATGAATGTATTGAGATTAACACAGTTAATTCTAATGATGAGATGAGAAATTATCTATTGAAATACGATATCATCATACTAGAAGGCAACTTCATTGATGTATGAGATGAATGTAATGGAACTTTATACTGAGCACCGATAGACTAGTTAGAAGCGGTGATTCCTTCTTTCTGGAAGGGAGGAGGTTTATGTAAATCTCATGAGATGAGGCTATCGGGAATCCTTTGTATGGGTCTCTTTATTTCTCCTAGACTTTGAACCTATACTGCCAATGTAGGGATATGGCGGGCTTCATTTCCCATGTACGCTAGCATGTTTTGGGTGACTTTTACCGGTTATTCCACCACTTTTTGGTGAGGTGGAAACACTGAATTTCATGATGCTAACATGATATATGTCTGATAAAATTAATGTTACCATTGAATGAATGAGGCAAGCCTTATATGATGCACATAACGAAATGAGTGATACCAAAGGTGTTAGGATAGGATGATCAAGAGGTGATTTGGACTCAATTAATGACACTAGTTCATTCTTGATCATTGCACGGCGAACCCGATGAAAGTCTTAAACTACATCCTTTGTATAA